TTTTTTCGTGAACAAACAAAATGAATCATCAGATGATTCACAAGAAAAAATTCTCAAAAAAACATCTCGATGATTCGTTTATACAATGATTTTGTTGTTATTCACTAAAATTATCATAAAAATGATTTTTTTCTTAATTTACTTAAAAATAAATCATAAAGATGTTTTTTTGGGAATTTTTTCTTGTAAATCATCTTACAAATGAATCATCTAGTGATTCATTTATTCTGTTTGTCAATAAAATATGTAGAAAAAAACTTCTTACATTCCCACCAAAAAATTTCTTACCGGATCTATATATATATATATATATATATATATATATATATATATATATATATATATATATATATATATATAGGGTTAGGTTCATTTGAGACCACCTATATTTTGTGAGACCGTGAGACGTATTTTTTTATTTTTTTTAGTTAATTAATGTTCCGAAAATAATATTTAAAAAAAGAATTTTTTGATTTTTCCATTTATTTTAAATTTTAAAATTATTTTTAGAATATGTACAGTGTAATATTCTATTTAGAATATTTCACGTATTTTTCAAAAAAAATAGAATTTTTTTTATTTTTTTTAGTTAATTCAAGTTCCGAAAATAATATTTAAAAAAAGAATTTTTAGATTTTTCCATTTATTTTGCATTTTAAAATTATTTTTTAGAATATATCAGTGTAATATTCTATTTAGAATATTTCACGTATTTTTCAAAAAAAAAAAAAAACGGAATTTTTTTTATTATTTTTTATTTTTTTAATATTTTTATATATTTTTTAATTAATTCAAGTTCCGAAAATAATATTTAAAAAAAGAATTTTTTGGATTTTTCCATTTATTTTGCATTTTAAAATTATTTTTAAATTTGGTCTCACGGTCTCACAAAATTAGAATGGTCTTAAATGAACTTGAACCTATATATATATATATATATATATATATATATATATATATATATATATATATATATATATAGGTGGGTTCAATTGAGAAAATAAAAAAGGTTGAGAATGGGGGAATCATTCTCAGCCACTCATTTAATCTAAACATAAAAGACACGGTGACAAACTTGTAAATATCGTAATGACCTTCAATCTCAAATACGTAACTATAGAGAATTCGATAACTGTTCGTTCATCATCAAAATTTTTCTTTCAACCTTCAATAATCATCCAGATTTCTTCAACTGAACCGGAATTTCTTCGTTCATAAAATTGGAATTGGAGTTCTGGACTCGCAATCACAGTCGACATTGAGAGACATAGAATCAGTACTCACAAGTTCCCAATCGGATTTTCGGAAATCAAAATCAAATTGAAAAATCGATCAGAGATAGGATGTCGCATCTGAAGTCGAAATCGGAAGTATATGATGATTTGGAATTGATAACTTGATGTTTTTAACATTTTTAAAATAGTTAACTTGTTTGCACTCCAACTGTTTGATGAAATGCATAAACTAAATTACCACGTTGTATTCACATATGAATATGTTTTCTCACCTGAATCAGTATATGATTATTAAAAACACAAAACAAATATGCAAGTCTGTATATTATTTATATGTGAATAACATATAAAAATTATATATATATTTGTCAAAATACATTCAATATTCATAAGTGAATATACATTGTAATATTCATATGTGAATATACTGTGTAATATTCACATGTGATATACCATGTAATACTATGTAATATTCACATATGAAATATCATTTAATACTCATAAGTGAATATACCATCTAATATTCACAACTGAATATACTATGTTAATATTCACAAGTGAATTTATCGTCCAATATTAAAATATGAATATACTATGTTTATTATATGGTATATTCATATATGAATGATACTTAAATTGTAAAAAAAAAAATCATACTTTTTATTCATAAGTGAATAACGAATGTACTGTAATAAAACCTGATGCATTATTATTCATTTATGAATAACGATAGTTGAAAATATAAAAAAATAAATTTTTTATTTTATCTTAAAACTACATCAATATGGATGTCTATTTGTAGAGAATAAAAAATCATGAATTTTGGTATATTTAAAATCATTTTTTGATAAAAATAGCTTATAAAAATTAAAAAAAAAAACAAAAAAAAAACTATATTTTTGTATATATTAAGGTAATGATTAACATAGTTTAAGGAAATATGTTATGTTGGAAAACATATGTGCATTCGTTTCCCATTTCCGTCGGTACGTTGGAGCCTTTTGCGGCAAAAATAAATGATTGACTGAGAATAATTCCCCCATTCTCAACCTTTTTTTTTTTTTCTCAATTGAACCCTCCCATAAGATTTGGTTATTGTTTTTATTATATGAAGTAATGTTTATATTTTGTAGTTTGCGAGATGTTTGATTATATATATATATATACATATACATATATATATATATATATATATATATATATATATATATATATATATATATATATATATATATATATATATATATAAACATTACTTCCTATAATAAAAACAATAACCAAATCATAACTACCTACCTTTAAAAAAAATTAGAAACAAAGTAAAAAGTATAAAAAAAAAGGTAAAAAACAGAAAAGAAACAATGAATATATAAATCTTTTTCAGCACTGTTTATCTTTTTAGAAAAAACAAAACAATGAATAATGCACATCAAAAATTGCAATTAGCTAGGAAATGTTATCTAAATCAGGATATGAGTACTAAAGAGATTTATTTTGTTGAAGCATCTAATTTACGAGAGTAACAACAAATGATAATAATAACAATGGTCAGATTCAAATTGATTCCATAACCTCTTGCCACAACAATTTTAACTAATGAAAATAAAACATTTGGTTCCATAAAAGAGTTCAATACAATCCTAAAGGACCATATGCAGAACAATTTCGAAGGAAGAAGATAAAACCATGACATGATATGTAGAAAAACAAGAGAGGCATATCAAAAATAAAACCATTGTATTGAAACATGAGACTAAAATAATCAAGGATAAATCATAACTTATTCGGTGAGGAGTGAGGATTTATTGAGTTATCCACAGTTCTGGACACACGACTTCCTGTAACCGACTTCGATTAAGAAGATAGAATATTATAACTAATAAGACGCTTGAGCCTGAACGCACGAATCACAATCACGAGTTCTAGGTTTTGATTTGGTGTTGAATTAAGTGAAAGGGACATTGGGTTTCCCGATTGATTGAACTGGTTTGAAAGAGGGTGAGTTGGACTACTTAAAAAATATTTTGAAAAATTGAGGGTGACATGGTCATACGTCGACCCTCATATGGCTCCGCTAGTGTAACAATTTACCATTATTTATTACCTTTTTGAGAAGAAATTTACAACACACCTGTGTATTGAATTAGTTGTCTTTCGTCTTTAAAACAAGGTTCGTGTAGATAAATACCATTTTGGACTATTATTGCAAGTCTAGTCGATTTACCTGATCATTAAACTCACATTTGTCGTTAAAACACCATTAAACTCACATCTGTTGTTACAGAAACACCATTAAACTCATATTTGCGTACATTTTTACCATTAAACTAATTTTTATACACATTTAATAACTCTCATCTTTTATGCTTATCATTAATTTTCCGATCATACTCTCCGCTTAACACAACCACATGTGAGTACACATATATATTAATTGTCGAAAAAAAAAAATCATCGGAGAAACTAAGGTGATGTTTGTTTTTTTGGAAAAAACCTCTTTAGACCTCTTATTGTTGCGCAACGCAACACACGCATAACAATTTTCATCTCGCAACTGTTTTGTTTTTCAAAAGTCTTCGGATTAAAAAAACATTTGCGTGTGTTTTTCTTGGCGCAACACTTGTTTTGCGTCTTCCTACCTCTTATTCTTTTTTTTTTCTTGCTAAAATATTGATTATATATTGCTAAAATCTTATTTCACATTTTTTTTTTCGTTTTTTTTTTGTTTATTCTTGTTGATTTTTTTTATATTGAATAATAATAATTTGTTGATGAAATATCATTATTTTATGCTAAAATATCTTTATTTTTTTTTTGTTAAAATATCATTATTTTTTGCTGAAATATCATAAATTCTTGCCGAAATGTCATACGTTATTAAATTTTCGGTATTAAAAAACTATTTTCGGATTATAAAATCAGTTTATTTTAATTTTTTAATATCTGAAGCAACATTCCGATGTTAAAAAAACCAATACGTCTGTTATTACAGTCTGCAGCCGTTTAGTCAACCTCTTCTACTGCAGAGGTGATCTGCAGATTTTATGAATTTTTGGTTCAAAAAACAAACAACACCTAAATGGGCCGCAAAGAAGCTTCACAATCACACTTAGGTTTTGTTTGACAAAAATAAATTAGCATTTACTGTTTGGTAAAACCATAAAAGTAACTTATTTTAACTTTATTAACTAACTTAAAAGTTACATTTTGATAACCACTATAAGATAGTTTTTGATGAGTTTATAAACCTTTTTAAAATATATTTCAAATATATCATTAATTGTGTCTTATCTTTTTTTTCTTTTAGTTATACATCTAAGTGTCTATTTATGACATATTACATTATAATTTGGTTTATAAGTCATCTTTTACCAAACATTATTTGTTCATATGTTAACTTTTCAGCTACCATTTAGATTTTCAGCTAAATGGTAGTTTTCAGTTGATCTACCGAACATTATCTTACTTCTAAATACCATAAATATAATGTACGAGACCCTTTGTAAACTTCACTGAGAACCATATGACAATTAGATTGAGATTTCATCACTTCTGCCTCTAGTCCCATCTTCATCATGTACCAACGAACCTAACGTGAATAAACATGTTACCAAAAAACTATAACTTAGTTGTTTTTATGTCAAATAATAAAAGACGATGTTTGTTGTTGTTGGTAGCTATGAGAGATGAACAATAGTGAAAGGTGTGGATAATGTTGAATAGAAAAAATACCGGTATATAGTTTAATGAAAAATGATATATGAAAATATAATGATAAATCATGTAAAAGATTAAGATTGTATATGAATAAAAATATAAAATGTGAACATATACAAAAATAACAATTTATTTACATACAAGGCAATTTTCACATTAAATTAAATTTAAATTAAAAAAATATAATAATCACAGGTAACATGTCACTCTCGCATTCAGCAAAAAAGAACCCTTCCTAGTTCACCTGTCGAGCAAGCAGGTACAATCCACGTTGATCGATAATTTGAGCGGATCTCCGGCACCGTAATCACAAAGAGTTTCTCAAGCAAAGCTCTGGCTGACAGTAACTGGGAGTAGTTCGGAGTTCTACGGACAACAAACGATTATGCATAAAACGGCGCAATCATGGTTCACCGGAGGTCCGAGCCAGACGAACAGCGATCTGCTAAAGCAACCTCCTTCTCTTCTTGCTGATTGGAACGCTTACGCCTCATCTTCACAATCTAACCAAGATCTAGATTCTTCCAACCTCGGTTTCGATCTCGAAGCCGCAGTTAGGGATAAGGTTTCCGGCACTTTCAACGTGTAAGTCGTTTCTTGTGACCTGCTTTGATTTTGTACATTGGATCTAGACTTCATTATCTCTTTGAATCAGTTTAGCTTCAGCAGGTTGCTTGCATCTTTCTTGATCATGGGAGATGTTATGTATTAAAACCTGATAATGGTAATTTAGGCTAAGTTCATTGGATCTGAGAATTGATAATTGATATGATTAACTTTGGATACTTGTCATATAAGAACTACACATAGAAATGCACAACAAATTCGATCTCTTTAGGGTTTAGCGAATTTGTATGAAGTATCACAACAGGAGATTGCATAATTTGACCCAAAAAGTTAAGGCACAACAAGAATAGTCATAGATTGAAAAAGTTAGATCATTTTCAATGACTTCGAATTCTAGGGGTGATGCTTTAGGATTAAAGTCGAAGCTAAAGCTGCACACAAGCAAGTTCATGTCAAGGGGCATTACCACAACCAATGCACATAAGGGGCATTTCTTTTTTAGATAATTGCACATTTCCACATTTTTCCTGGTCAATTTGGACTTCAGGCCTCTTGTTTTCTTTGTTAGGGGGTGGGGTTCATCAGCATCTGATAGCTTATTTAGACTAGCAGAGTCTTTTTGGGGTTGAAAGAGTTCTTGTTGTGGATTAGAGCTAAAGGGTAGAACAAAATGACAATTAGGTTGAAGCATGTTTCTGTGCCTTTAGAAACAGAAATAAGTAAGAAGATGATAAGACAGATATATAGATATGAAATACATTATTTTCATGAATCATGAAAACCAATTCACTCTCTCTTTCAACTTGTTATAGAGTTTCAAAGGGAGTGAGAGACATACCTGGAAGCTTGCAATCTGCCACCAGCAATGTCCCAACTGGAAAATCCTTTATGACATTTGGCATACTTCTTGCTGTTGGGATCTTTCTTGTCTTCCTTGCTATCACTGTGTTTCTACCAGTCATGGTGCTTGTTCCTCAGAAGTTTGCTATATGTTTCACTATTGGATGTGCCCTCATAATCGCTTCCTTTTTTGCCCTCAAGGGATATAGAACTCAGTTTGCACATATGACATCTAAAGAGGTAATTCAACCATCTGTTAGTTTTTTCTTCTCTGAAATTCAAAACTTACATGCTTGTTCCTTCTTGTTTCAGAGACTCCCTATTACATTGGGGTTTATTGGCAGCATGTTGGGCACCATTTATGTGTCAATGGTGCTTCACAGTTATGTTCTTTCTGTCTTCTTCTCTATTTTACAGGTACTAAATCCAACTTCTGTATTCTTGTACAATTTCTGTATTTTATGCTCATGATATTTCCAAATTTTATGCCAGGTCATCTCTTTGTCATATTATGCAATTTCTTACTTTCCTGGAGGATCAGCTGGCTTGAAATTCTTCACTTCTGCAATTACCTCTTCAATTCTGAGATGCTTTGGGAGGTGATTTTTGTAACTAGATAAGATGTCTATAACTTCCTCTTAACCTAATTTTTACATAATCCTTGACACCCCTACCCTTTCTGTTATACTTGTGAGATTAAATGATACTTTTCATTCTTTTGTGAATTCTTCTTATCTTTTCGCTGATGTTGACATTAGGCAACTTTTTTGTAGCTATTGTTAGTTATGAATGCATATGATCCTATTATCTCTTGATGTAACACCATGGTTACCAAAACTATCATTCCTGAATGCCTCACCCGTGCCATGGGGTTGTCAACCTTGGTATCATGCTAGTCTCACTTGCCCTCTTAGGGTTTTTGACCATAATACCCTTCATTGACTCACCCGAACTCCCCCTCCCTTATTACTCATGTATATCCTTAGTCTTGGGGCTATTGACCACTTTACCAATTGCCCGTAGCACACTAAGTAGCACCACATATTCTCGGTATCGAAGGACAAATAACGAAAAAAAGGCAATGGGATTCTGATTCAAGATCAAACGCATAATTACTCAAAAGCGTATTTCAAGCATGGAATCAAAAGACATGTGAATTAACTATGAGGATGCTATACAAGTGCAAAAAGGACCCTTAATGAATACATGAGGTATGGATCGACAAAAAACATATACACATAATCATATTGTAAGCACATAATTCTACATAAACTCATAGTGATGGAATATAATTAATTGCGAATTCAAACCGATTGCAACGTTTTAATTCCGAAATCCAATGGAATTACATGATCCATAAGGCTACAATGACTTTATTATAGCCCGTGAAGCTATGCAGTCGGCGATAGCGTTTACGGAGGTAAAGTATCGTGATTTTAAAATAGCGGTAGCGATATTAGCGCCGTGATTATAATCACCGCTACAACGGCGCTATAATTGCTATTTGAATCAATTCTATTTTTGGGTTTTTTACATAAAGAAAACGTTTTTTTTTGAGCAATTACATTGATTAAAATTGTTTTTTCTTAACCAAAAACAAAACTTTTGTGCCATTCCATTGAATAAATTGTGATCATGTGACTATGATAACTTCCATTGGAACCATGTATGTGTTGTCTTGCTAATTGTGTTGAAGACTTGAAGTACTACAGTATGATTAACTGTCAAATTGTTTAATCATTTTATTATGCTAACTGTGATCATGTGACTATGATAACTTCCATTGGTTCCTATGGTTTCACAAAATCTGAAATTTAGTCTTTAATTTTAAAAAACCTCATAGATGGTCCTTGTGGTTTCAAAACTCTTAATGTTTAGTCCTTATGGCTAACTCCGTAAGTATTTGTCTATTAAGTAAAGGACATTTTCGTCATTTCACTATGCAGGGACCATTTATGAGGTTTTCTATTATTATTATTTAAAAAAAAAAGAAAAAATCACAATCTAAAACTTGCAACCTTGTCTTGATTGTATCCAATGGCATTGTCACCACTACCGAAAACCCATTAGCCATGGCGACACTTGCTGCCTGCACCGCTACCACCGCCTTAGAATTCGGTGTAAACCCGTCACCGTTGCCACCACTATTGCCTCTTTCTTCAAATAGTAACAACCAACCCCACCCCACACAACACGATGAGCCATGAAGTAAGTCACCCACCAGACTGCATTTGATGGAGCATATGTAGGATTGCAATCCCAAATCCTCTTTATAACCCTCGAACAACATTAGTTTGAATGATCTTCCTAAATGCATCAATTCCACCATTGTATCTAATATGTGCACCATGTCCACCTTGAACCATCAGTCTATGGCTCACAATATAGACTCACAACATCAATTGGTGTCCAAACCATTTGAGCAACCATGGCTGCACTTAACCCAGCTGCAAGATTCACAATGTTAGCTGCTTTTGCCTCTGAAAACCCATTTTCACAGTAACACAATCGACATTACTCTTGGTCATCTCCAATGCCCCCATGCAAATAGCTCTGGCGGGAATAATACCCATTAACGATGTCCCAAAACCCTTGTAAAAACCTCTCCCCATTAGCTTCAAGCATGGCATGTATTTTACAAGGACTTGTTTTCTTGTTTTCAACACCATGATGGGATACAACATCCCGAAGACACCAGAGAATAAGTTAGCACCTAGGAAAAAGAACTTTAATTTATCAAGCATCTCCCAATCAATGTCACATGGGAGATGTATTTCCGTTCCCGAGTCATCCTCCGTTGTTCCCAAACTCATCTTCGCCACTTTATCTGAATGCTAAAATATATTACAACCAAATCAAAATAACACTGAAAAACACTTCTACTCGGATTGAGTAATTTCCACAAACACCTTACCTACAAACCTAGGTTGATCAATCTGTACTACTGATACTAAATTACTAAAACCCCTAACTTAACAAAAACAAAAACCCTAATCCTGAAATTCGTGGTAGACAATAAGTTATCGATTTGTATCTGTATATGAGAGAGAGCTGATTGAAGCTAATAAGAGAGAGAGAGAGAGAGAGAGAGAGATTAAATTTCATTTTTTTAAAATAATAATAATAATAATAATAATAATAATAATAGAAAACCTCATATCCGTGAGTAGTGAAATGATGAAAATACCCTTTACTTAACGGAAAAATACTGACAGAGTTAGCTATAAGGACTAAACATTAGAAGTTTTAAAACCACAAGGGCCATCCGTAAGGTTTTTTAAAGTTAGGGACTAAACTTCAGATCTTGTGAAACCACAGGGACCATTTATGAAGTTTTGTCTTCTATATGATACAAAAAACACTATATCACCGCTATATCACTGCGGGAATCGTGATTTCAAATAGCGTTTGGTGACCGTTATTATATTTTTGACTGCGATAACTGCATAGTTGTGGAGTATGCATGCCAAATACCATGTTTGTAAAAAATGTTCGACGTTAGCTAGTTAGTGGGCTAAGGTTAAGAGATTACTTGGCCAGATAAAGATTAATCGGGGACCCTAAGTTGCTGATTATTTGAATTTTAAAAAAATTCAATATGACTAATATCATACCAAAATTTGTAAATATCACTAATATCATAACAAAATAGGTTAATATGATTAATACGACATTAATCATCCCTAAAATAGTTTGTATTGAGATAAAACTTTTTCAAACAGTTGAAATTTTATCATTTGCCATTGCTTTGCTAATTGTATAGCCAATGATTAATCGCTAAGCACATTCTCGTTGGTCCGGTAACACCTAAGGACTAATTAGAGATTAATCAGGACCTAGTTGAGATTTTTACAACACTGCCAAATACCATTAATATATGATCACCAATTTTCGAGTTATACTTCTACATACATCCCTATGTTTATTCTTAATTTTAACATACATAAACTTATAATCACACACCGACTTCAAGAAATGAGTTATAGTACTTTCTCTAAGTTTTCCAATGCGACTGACCTCATATATTTTTTTATGATTTTCAATGATTACAAATTTTACAACACATCAACTATAGTTGTCATAATTTATATGATTTTCAATGATTACAAATTTTACAACACATCAACTATAGTTGTCATAATTTATTTGATAACATTGTAAAGAATGTGATTTTTACCTATCTTAAAGCTGAAATTCATTTATGATGTCTAAATACAAAATAGACTAGACATTCCTATATTTCAAATGCCACCAGAATCACCCTTATCGTTTTTATTTGATTTTACATGATTTAAAAAAAAAACAGTGCTAAACCCTAACAAAGTAACCTAGTTTTTATATAATAAAATTATACCAACATATTAGCCGAATGCGCCCGTAATCTAAACCCTAACCTCAAAATTTACATCATAGTAAGTTAATAGGTTTCAAAATTTTGTCCTAAACATAATTCAATTCTATCATCAAGATATTCTAAAACCTCAAAGTTAGGGTTTTATCTTAAAATCTTCAAAAAAACAATGGATTTTATTTCAAAGTCAATTGGAAATGGTGGAGAATCGGAGAAAGTATTATGGACTTTTAGGGCTTAAACTATGAAAAAATTGAAGTTAAACTCGATCAATACGTCAAAAACGTCCATTACCGACCCTGATGGCAGTTTGGGTTGATTCATCGTTCCCTTTTTACCCATTAACACTAAAAATCACATCTTTCCGCTCGCGTCTCCGTTTTCGATAAGGTTTTCGCCTAGGTGTTCTTAACGAAATAATCTACAACCTTGTATAAAAAGATTCTAGAAAAGTTTTTCTCAATTCTTTTTTTTAATTTTATTTAGGCATTATACCGTACATATCTATGCTCATAGAGCACTAGACTTTGTTTTCTTGACACTTACCAACTGTAACACCTTACATTAACTTATTACAAGGTGTTCCAACCTTTACTTCATTCTTTTAACTTTTTAAACAAGTTTTGGACTCCTTTACCCAATAAAGCACTATACTTTAACTATGGTTTTAAGCATTTAAGCAATACTAAGCATGTAAGACATCATTTATAGGTTATTTAAGTTGATATAAAATATGCATGTTACAATTACCTCATCCTTTCATAAATTTCATCATCGAAATCATTATGGCTGAAAGAGTTCCATATATTTCTCTTTCATTTCTTCATCGTTCTCGCAAGTCTAGTTTAGAGCTCAGCGATGCATCCATTTGACCAACACCAAGCCTACAATCTTCTTTCGAAGATTCATCATTCTTTCATTCAAGATAGCATCCGGTTCCTTAGTGTATCTCAATTGTTTATCAAGTTTTCCCTCTGCCAAGGAAACTGTCTCATCGCGTTTACCAAACAATGACTTAGTTTACCTTGCTTATCAAATCACATAACTCCCTTCTAAGGAGATACTTTCAACATTGTTGTATCACCTACAAAGAACTTGGAAGTGAACCGAGAGTTGCGACCATAGACTATTTTCACCCGTACACGATTGTCGCTCAATAATCTTCTCAATATACAAGTGTTCCTATTGGTCCATCGAATAATTCTCACTAATAGGAAGAAAGTGATCACTTTTTGATAATCTCTCTATGATAACCCAGAATCCCAGCTAATGTCATGCTGTTTAGATGTCTTTGACAATTTTTTCATAAGGTTTATAGTAAACTCTTCCCAGTTTCATATCGGTACTTCAAGAGGTTGCAAACTTCCATATGGTTTATGGTATTCGACTTTTGCTTATAGACAAGTGACAAACTTTTCAACATATCAACCAATATCAACTTTCATACCCAACCACCAATACTGGGTACACAGATCGTGATACATCTTTGTGCCTCCAAGATGAATAGATAACCATGATTTGTGCGCTTTATCTAGAATAGCCTCTCATAAACCCCCCAAGTCTCATCAACCAAATTCGGGTTTTAAAGACTTTGAGATGACAATTGTCTTCAGATAAGAAGTCTACATAACCCACCATATGTTCAGACTTCATGTGTTTTGTCTTTAAAGTCTCGTTTTTCCACCTACGAAGATCATCGATAAGAGTAGATTGTATAGAGACATAAGTGATAACATAACACATACTAGCAATGTATGCCTTCAGACTTGAGGCATCAGCCACTACATTGGCTTTAACTGGATGGTAAATTACCTCATAGTCATAACCCTTGATCAATTCCATGGTTCTTTGCTGGTATATATTCAAATTTCTTCTAATCAAAGACATATTTCAAAATTTTATGATTCGCAAATAATTGAGATTTCGTGCCATTAAGATAATGATGGTAAAGTTTCAAAGCAAAGACCATGACTGCCAACTCAACACCATGAGTGGGGTAATTCTTCTCGTATTCTTTCAATTGACTAGAACAATATGCGATCATCTTCCTTACTCCATTAACACACAACCCAAGCCTAACTTTGAGGCATCAGTATACATAACAAAATCCTCATTTCCTTCCGGTAAGACAAGAATTGGAGCATTGGTTAGACAAGCTTTTAAGGTCTGAAAAGTATTCTCTTGAGCGTCAACCCATATAAACTTCATGTCTTTGTGGGTAAGAGTGGTAAGTGGTGCAACGATCTTTGAGAAATCTCGTATAAAAACTACAAATCTCAAAGGCATTCTTTAGTTATTCCCATGTATGAACTGCCTCTATATTGGATGGAGAAACACCATCACTAGATATCATATTCCCAAAGAATTGTACATATATGATACAAATTTGCATTTAGTTATAACAACATACAATATTAGGTATTCTCCTTAAGCATTTAATTTATTGTACCTTACAAAGTGAGAATTTGCATTTCGTATACTTAGCATATGTATATTTTCTTTCCTCATCAACTCCAACATCTCATGAAGATGTGTAACACGATCAACTTCAAAATTAGAGTATACCAAAATATCGCCTGATAAAGAAGATAACCGACTTGTCAAACATAAGGCGACATACTTGGTTCATAATGTCCATGAAAGTTTTTTGAAGCATTTTTCAACACAAGTAACATGATAAAGAACTCATAGTTCCTGTGTCGGGTAGATAAATCTGTCTTTGGTATATCATCTTCACATACCTTGAGTTATGATAATCCGACCTCAAATCAATCTTTGAAAAGTATAACTTTCACCCTACAAATGATCGAACAAGTCATCTATACATGATAATGAATACTTATTAATTATCGTTACATTATACAGTTCGCGACAATTCATACACATACGAAACAATCCATTTTTTTCTTCACAAACAATACCGGAGAACCCTAGGGTGAAGTCTTGTTCGAATAAAGCCCTTATCTAACAACTCTTGTATCTAATTCATCGTATCTTTCATCTCGGTCGGTTCAAGACGATAGTGTCTTTGAAATAGGTGCAACACCTAACACTTAATCAATACGAAATTCTAGTAGTCTAGGAAAGGCAAGTCATCAGGGAAAGCATGTTGGAATTCACATAGTATTTGACACATGTTTCATAGTTTTCTTCACTTCTTTGGTTGCATCTAAAACATATGCCATGAAAGAAAAGCAACCCTTAGTAATATAAAATTGTGCTTTAAGCATTGATATTCCCTTCAGGTCGCCAATATGTCCTTCCCCGTACATGCGCAAGTAGTCTGCATTCTCAATGGGTACCTGAATCATCAGAAAAATGATATATGCGTGATTCTTTACTAACCAATCCATCCCAATCACAATATCAAAGTCGGGTATATCAATAGGTATCAAATCTACTGAAAAGTCATGATCATCCAATACTAGAATGCAATATCTATATACTCTATCAGATAGCAAT